AAGAGACATGGGTTCTGTGGTGCAGTGGAAGAAACATGGTGGGGGGAGATTTATTGTTGCTGGCATCCATTTGTCTCAAGAGACCATGGGGTGCGCCTCCTGGGATAAAGTCAAAACACTGTGTTGGCAGCACTGAAGTGACTTCCATGCAGCACAAGACTGGGCAGTGCCCTATGGAGGTCCTGATCTGCCCAGACGACAAGAACCCCCTCTTGGTCTCTGTGGGCCAAAGGAAAGCACAGCAATATGTTTAGCTGCAAGAATTGCTGGAAGGATAATTGCTTCCTCCTCCTCCTTTAGCAATCACTCATAGCTGAGTAAGATTGTCTTCTATGAACACAGTCCGTAAGTGACTATGGAGGCTCATAGCTGTCAACTTACAGATTTGAAAATAAGGGACCAGCAGCCTCAAAAATAAGGGATCAGCAGCCAAAATAAGGGATTTTCTGAACACAGGTATGTTCAACTTCTGAGCCCCTCTGAGCCAAAGGCAGAAAGCCCAGCCAGCATCCAAACGAAGCCTCAAGCAGTGGTTCCCACAGTGCAGCAACCCAGCAAAGGGAATGCAGCAAGGAAAACCACCGTCACCTCTCCGCTGGGAAGCACTGAGCAAAGGCGAGTCCCCAGGCAACGCGGCCGATTTGATCGGCACAAGGCATGCAAGCTCCACCCCCCAGTTGTTCTTAGACTCCTTATTGGGTGAGCAATGCAGCCAAGCAACACAGTTGGAGCCTCCCTCTACCCTGGCCGGCAGGGAGGGAGGGAGAGGAGCTGCTTCCTTTGAAACCCAGGAAATTTAAGGGACCTCATCAATAAGGGACAGCAGCGGGACACGGCGCTGGGATAAGGGACTTTCCCGCCAAATAAGGGACAGTCGACAGCTATGCTGTGGAGGCCAATTCTGGATCCACACGTCCTTCCACAGTGGGGACATAGGTTTCCAGGCTAATTGCTCCAACTGTCTAGGGACTCCACAATGGATTTGTGAAGAGTTAGCCTTTTCTTCTCCTGAAGCTATCCCGCAAGTCAGCAACAGTTTGGAGTCAGAGTTTCCCTTCTCCTAGATGGGCTGCCTTCGCAAGGTTGACAAGCTGGAGGGACATGGCGGCTCAGGCACCCTGCAAGCCCAATGCCATTCGTGGGGACGGCCTTTTACATCCTTCTCAATGGCAGGAGGGGGGCTGGAAGGGACACAGCAGCTCAGGCGCACTGCATACCCAGCCCCATGCTGCTTTTGCAGGCAGCACACTGGAGTCTCTGGGTGCCTGGGCTTGCGCGCCACCTTGGGCTATGGCGTGCCGCTCTCCAAGTGCCACCCAGTGCAGTCCGCCCCCTGCGCATCCCATTAGCTACACCACTGGTTGAGAGAAGATTATTTTCTCAAGGCCACGCAGAATGGTCAAGAAGGCTGTGTACCCAGCAAAAAATGCAACATCCAAATCACACGGTCTCTCTGCAGGGATGCAATTGTCAGGCTTAACTTGCCACTGATATGTGCAGTATACCAGATGAAACCATGTCTCATTTCTAACCATTGGTTTTCACTTTGAAAAGGGGAGACATAAACTGTCCATTAATGTACCTGTTGATGGTGTTAATAAAATTCCATTTATCTTGCAGGCTAAGCCTTTAGATTCTGCTGCAGACTCCAATGTCACTTCTTCTCGGTCATACATATTCTAGTTACCTGCTTCATAATATTGCAGTCCATGATAAAATGATTTATTAGGTGAAATGGTAGCTGATTGGTTTTAACCCCTTCAAGCTGAAACTGCACCCAAGCATCAGAAATCAGTCTGTCAGTTTGAAATAGATGTTATAGCCTATGAAGTCATTTGGACTCCCAACTCTCCCATTATTTCTGCAAATCCTCATTAGAAAACGCTGGATGAAATATAGTTGGTATTAAAGAGGAATATAGGGAATACAGGGCAAACAAATGTGTTTGCTGATATTTACATGTCATAACAAGCACACTGTATAAAGAGATTTCATATTATTTGTAATGCTTTGGGGAATGAGTTTAAGAAAAGGCAGGACTCTTAATGATACTTCAGTGTCTGCCAATTCAATGTCAATCCATGTCTTATCTGTTTTCTAAATAATGCAAATTAGCCACCTGATTTGGATTGCCTAATTATATTTGAATAAATGTGGAATATTCCACCACACTTGTATTTTTCTGTAAGATGGTAAAAACAATTAAGGGGTTTCATTAAAAAATAAATTTATGAATAGTATTTTGCCACTTCTTTAGAATACCGTATGATAGGGTAAGAAATTGGGAAGTTTTGAAAAATTGATCACAATAACCCTCAAGCTTCCCAACATATGCTTTGGTTTGTGGGCATGGAAATTGCAACTGCATATGATTTGAGAATTTTTCCTAAGAAAAGAAAATGGGCTTTTAGTATTAAGCTATATTCTTATAGGAACTATGGTACACACTGATGGTTAAATGGTATGTAAAATTGGATATGAATATGTATTAAAGCTTAGAAAATAATTCTAACCCTTTATGTTCTGAGCAGTTCTCATTTGCTTTTTCTCCTACCCCAGCCATCCATGTGCAATGGCGCAGCAATACATTGCATGCATATGTGTGTAATGTAATGTCAATACCAATCTTTTAAAAATAAAACAGCTTTGGGATGGGGTAGTTTTGACCAAAGAAATTAAACTTTTCCCTGCTCAGTTTTCCCTCTTAATATCCCTCCCATTCCCAGCCAGATAAATTAAATATCCCCCCTTCCAAACTAGTTACCTCACATGGCTGTCTAACGTATTCCAAACACATAACCTTAAAGCTTCAAGAAGAGAGAGAACTGCCTATTATATGTACCCCTGAGTGATTAAAGCAGCAAACATTATCTCATAGGACTGGGAGTACCTATGTTCAATTCCAAACTTAGCCACCAAGTTCACTAGATCCCTTATGGTCTTTCACATGCTGAGGTATAAAATGCCTTTTAGCCTCTAATGCTATTTATGTTAACATGTCATACTTGTTCACGCAAGAAAGAAGGGAGAGAAACAGCGTTTGCAATATGAATGAGTGTTTTTACAAGACCGTTACAGATGGGGCATGTGCTCAGGAGAGATGCACATAATAAGTATACAACAGCAGCCTTAATGCTTACATACAACTCTTAAGGTCTCTTCATTATTGGATATTACAGTGGTGCCTCGCAAGACGAAATTAATTCGTTCCGCAAGTTTTTTCTTCTTGCGAGTTTTTCGTCTTGCGATGCACGGTTTCCCATAGGAATGCATTGAAAATCAATTAATGCGTTCCTAGGAAACCGACTTCAGACCAGGTCCGGGGACAGTCTGTCCCCCGACCTCTTCTGAAGGCTGGGGGGGACAAGGGCTTTTCTTCCCACTCCACCCCAGCATTTTAAACCCCCGGGACAGCGGAGGGCTTCTCCGCTGTCCGGGGCGATCTTAAAATGCTGGCGGGCGGCATTTTAAAATTGCCCCGGGACAGCGGAGGACTTCTCCGCTGTCCGGGGCAATTTAAAAGCCCCTGGGAAGGCAGGCAGGGGGGACAAAGACTTTTGCCCCCCGCCAGCCTTCAGAAGAGGTCCTGGACCTCTTCTGAAGGTTGGCGGGGGGCGAAAGTCTTTTCCCCCCCCCACCTGCCTTCAAAAGCTGTCCAGCCAAGGCTTCGCGGACCTCTCCGCAAGCAGCGGCAGCACTGCCGCTGCTTGCGGAGAGTTGCCGGCATGCCGAAGCCTGCGCGCGCTGAGATCAGCGCGCCCAGGCTTCGCGGACCTCTCCGCGAGCAGCGGCAGCGCTGCCGCTGCTTGCGGAGAGTTGCCGGCATGCCGAGCCTGCGCGCGCTGAGATCAGCGCGCCCAGGCTTCGCGGACCTCTCCGCGAGCAGCGGCAGCGCTGCCGCTGCTTGCGGAGAGTTGCCGGCATGCCGAAGCCTGCGCGCGCTGAGATCAGCGCGCCCAGGCTCGCGGACCTCTCCTGCCTTCAAAAGCCGTCCGGGATAGCGGGAAGCGCTTCCCTGCTATCCCGGACTGCTTTTAAAATGCTGGCGGTGGGGAGCAAAGCCGTTCGGCCCCCCCCAGCCGTCCAGGACCTCGTCTGTAGGCCGGAGGGGGGGGGGGAGGCTTTGGTCCCCCCCCCGAGCATTTAAAAGAGGTCCCCGGAGATTTACCAATGGGCTTTCGTCTTGCGAAGCAAGCCCATAGGGAAATTCGTTTTGCGAAGCGCCTCCAAAACGGAAAACCCTTTCGTCTAGTGGGTTTTCCGTCTTGCGAGGCGTTCGTCTTGCGGGGCACCACTGTATTAAAAGAGAGCTGGCTTCTATTAGTTTAATAACAGGCACATGCCATCACCATTCATCTCCAAATGCTACCATATTAGAAAGATATGGAGTTTGGAGAACTCTAGAATATTGTCCTTTGGGGAATTCCTACCTACTTCCCCTGTTTGTTTGGCTATATCCCTAAAAACAAATATTGTCAGGAAATAAAACCTGTTCATTAGAAAGCTGGGACTTGCTTTCCTAGAGCTGATCTTATTTGTGCATGACTGCCATCTGGTGGTCAAATAGAAGCTATTCCCACTTTCTTCCTCATTTGTGAATTTTGGCATCAATCACGTGCACATGTGATTGGGAGTAATTTCTGTGAGCCCAGAGGTCTTGTTTTTGTGTAAATATGTATAAGATCAAGCCATCAATCTCCCTCTCCCAAGCTGTTGCAGCTTCTCTTCTCTCTCACTCCCTGGGGCATTAAATTTTATAGGACAATATAACAAACCAAACTGAGAGTAGACCTTTCTTTCAGTGGTTGATACAGTGGGGGAAATATATATGAATGGACAAATGAAAGCACCAATACGTTTTCACTCATATGGAAAATTTGATATAGAAACACACCAGACATATATCTTTAAAATGAATTTTAAAATAACCACTGAACCAAGTGATTGGTCAAGATCAACTCTTTCAAGGCTTGTATTTCCACCGGGAGTTTAGAAGCCATTCATTCTTGCTTTTGTTCAGCACCCTTCGTTTCCTTCAACATTTCTTGCCAGTTCTTCTCCATTTCTTCCTTACAGGTGAGAAAAGCATCTTCCAGTCGTCTCATAGAGTTGGCCAAGTCTGGGTTAGCACGCATCACCACCATATCATAAGCCATCCATGTAGCCTGCACTGGGACAGGGTGCAAAATGCAGAGTCACTAATTTGATGAGATTTGTTGCAGTGGCACGGATGAGAAGGAAAAGGTGAAACTGATAACAAAACGGAAGAGTCGCCAGCTCTGAGACTAAATACCTCTTCAAATACACTTTTAAGTTTCAAACCAGTGCTGCACTCACTGCAATAACTAACTAGTTTACTCATTGACAGCTTTCCACAACATCACTGACCCTCAGGGAAGAATGACATGCTGCTTCTGGGTGTACATATCTGTGGGGTGGGGCCACTCATCCAACACTTGCATTAGAAAAGCAATAGAATATCTCCCCCCGCCCAAAAAAAAAAAATGTGCATAGGGAATTATTAAAACAAATCAGCGAGTTTTCCCAAATCAGACTGCAATGATAGCAAAAATAAGCTGTCCTTCCCCCTGCCCACAAAAAAATATAGATTAATGAAGATCCTCCCAGATGGCGGGAGGATGGCGCTGTTTGCATTGTGATCTTAACCCCCCACAACACACACTTTTCATCACCCCTACCCACCTGTGCAGCAAATCTCAGCCAAGTTTGAGAATCGCTGTTATAGGGCACATTCAGTAATTTGAATGTTATTTTTCAAGTTAACTAGACCATGGTGGCAGAACAACCTAATGCTATTTATGACAGCTAGCTTGCCGTTTTTATCCAATCTGGCTGAGAATAGGTTTTTTTTTAAAGTATGTACTAATTAGTGGAAATGTTTGAATGAATCTGTAATAGAACTCCTGCAAATATTGTCTCACATCAAAACCTAGATTAGGTTCTGAGGCATTGTTTAATTATCCAAGAGGCTCGATCAGTATTTGACTTTCTTTGTGCCATTGCAATCCTCTCTATAAAGATTCCAGGGTTTTTTTTAAAAAAAAGAATCCATTTGAAGTCTATAGTAGTTTGACAACCTGTCCTTGAACTGAAAAACCTCTTTAGAAAGTAACCTGAGAGAAGAGAAGTGGTGGATAAGATTTAAATCCTCTCTCCACCCAGTTCCATGTTTGAAACCCACCCTCACACTGCTCTTCTCCCTGCAGGTTCAAATCTATGTTCACAAAAATCAATGTGTAATTTAGCTCTAATTCATTATATTCTACCAGGAAAATCTTTCTTGTCATATTTGACAGGATACTATAAAAACAAGAAATTCTGTCCATTGGTTATTCTTATAGTTAGGAACTCAGCATTCAAAAGAATGGTAGCATCTTGAAAGGGATAATTGTTACGTTGGGGTTTTGTTATTGTCTGTTCTGTGAGACCTGAAAAATCAATGCTTTGTGGAAAGAAATAGAGAGCATACTTAAAGGTGCTTAAATTAGCAATTTTTCTAATGAATAGTACTTATACAGTAGCAACTGTATAAGTAATCTACAGTTTCTACGGACATATGCCCAAGCAGTTTAGCATGTTCCTGTCCTGACACTACAGAACTTATTCAGCTCTTAATTGCATGTATTGATTAGTTATACTCAGATGTGGATGAGCATCAGACCCTCACATCAGATTTAATGGATCCTGGATGAGCATTGTAATCTGCACACTAATTTCTCCCTTGGTGGCTCAGGGGGATATAATTAGCAACACATAAATCCTCTGCAGGAATAGTACCACACCTGATAGTTTTTCCATGTCTTCCAGGAGCTTCTCTAAATCCCTGTTCAGATCCTCAAGCATTTTTACCATGTTGTCGTAGTTTCTTTCACAGGGTTCACATTTGGCCATCTAACAGGGAAGAAGGAAGTGATGAGTGGCAGCACAACTTTGTGAAACCTATGTTTAAAGCACACAGAATGTTCTTACACTCTTTTAATAATTGCATGGTATAGAAGAGAACGTTTTGTATATTTTAAGCATTTCTACCCTGATCTTCAGGCAAAGTGTCCCAGAGCAGCTTACTGTAGGTGAAGGCCAGTAAGAACAGTAAGTAGAGAGTCCCAGCCCACAGGCTTCAACAGGGAGTAGGAAAACAAGCAAACTCAGGCACCAGTTCTCAGTGGTTGATAACAGGATGCCATTATTATTATTATTATTATTATTATTATTATTATTATTAATATACCACTCTATACCCAGGGGTCTCAGGCTAGACCAGATGAGCTCATCTTTTGTTCTTAAAAGTTACAAGTTCTTATAATGAACATTGCATATCAAAAGATTTGAGCATGAGGAGGAACTAAATGCAGCTGGTGTCTTAGCACAGTCTATGGATTGGGTCCAATAGTTCCACCCCGCTGCAGAAGCCAGAATAGGGTGTGCAGGTCCTTCCCATTGTTGCTGTGACTGAGTAAACACTTTATACAACTGGACCAAAATCAGAAAATTGTAATTTTCACCCTTCCCCCCCAAAAAAAGACTGCAAAACACCCCAATGAATTTTGGATGAATGGATATAAAATATTGAATACTTGCGGGGGGGGGGGTACAAGTATGTTTAGAGAAAATGAACTTAAATGATTAATTCAATACTTCTGAAAATCAGAGCACTTCTTATGTGTCAAAGTAAAGATCGAAACACTTCTAACACTTCAGATTGCAAAATTATACCTCTTGACAGCTGTGCAATAGTGGGCACATGGGGAAAGAAAACCTCAATTACCACAGTAAATGTAGAATAAAATCAAATAAGTATATTAGTCACAAGCAAACAAACAAGCATCCCTAGTAAGTAGTCCCCAAGTGCCAAAGAGAATATATTTTAAGTGCATACTTGAATTTTTGGCTACAGTACCAGTTAGGCACCCTAGCTTAAACAATAAATTCATCTATCAGGGCTGAAAAAGATAGACACTAAATCACTTTGAAGAAGATGATGCTGACAATAATTTAAATGCTTAACTTCAGAAACTCCAGATCTCAAACTGTTTTTGTTTTATACTATGCTTGTGGAAGTGAAATCTTGCCAAAAATAGTGCCTGCATCAGGCGGAGAGATGGCAGAGAGCCATTGGATTAGGGCCAGGGAATTATGGCCATCCAAAACAAAAGCTGAAAAGCTGAAAGTTTCACGGTAGATTCAAAAGGTTCCTCATAAAAGCTCTAATGTACGGACTTCATAAGGGATCTCTGCAAGAACAGCGGGTTCTAGAGAAAACTTTCCTTTTGGAAACACTTCAAGGGAAGATGGCCAGAGAGGGAACCATATTACCTAACACATTCACAATACTCTACAAAAAACCTGAATGATCCCATCTTTAAAACCATAGGATGGATTTTGTTTAATATTGTGAAAGGGCAAGATATGAATATTTGAAATAAAATAATAAATACAGCTGGTTTCAGAAACTGAGCGATCATTCAAGGAGTCCGTGGCTTGAACTTCAGCTCTGAACTCGCTATGGGACTTTGGATTTGCCACTTTCCACTTCATCTCCTGCATCTATAATACAGGGACAAATATACTTGCCCTCCAGGATTGTTTTTTAAGGACTGGGAAAATTGTGGAGTGCTTTGAACACTCTAAAAAGTGCTTCTCAACAGCCAATTTCCGTTGTCTTCAATTTTGTACAGTCAGTATTGCATCTGCTAAAACTACCAACCGTCCTCTCCCTAAGCCCCTTTCTCCACTCCTTCCCTTCATCCCATCCCATAATTACACTTCCGAATTGGTACAGCGATGCTGATTATTTTTAAGTGTTCATCCTACTATTTTTGAATTGTTATATTTCATGCTGTTCATCCGGCATGTTGTACTCCACTTTGAGCACGATTCTGTGGGAAAGTGGCATACAAGTACACTCGATGATGATGATGCTATAAATTCAGATAATGATAATTCTTATTATTGAAAGACTAGCCGGGGAGATGGAGGTATATTAGCTTTACAATTTAATATTCCACACATTTATCATATAAAAGAAAAATATCACCCCCATGACTTCCCTCAACTTCCCTTTCTGGTTATTTGAATATTTGCTACTTCTGCTTAATTTCCAAGTTGTTGTTTCTTAACCTTTCCCTTTGTTTTCTTAATTGCAAGTGTTTACTCAAACCCTACTCATGAGTCCACTAATTCTTTATGACGTTTCTGTAAATACAGCATCAACGGTTCCCGATCTTTTTAAAAGTCTCTATTGTCATTGTCTCTAAGTCTTCCTGTAAGTTTCGCCATGTCTGCGTATTCCATAAGTTTAACTTGCCATTCTTCCTCTTCGTTGGTACTTTGTTGTCCTTCCATTTTGGGGCCGCTATTGTAGCAGACATGAATAACTGAGAATGAGAGGCTGTTTTCAGCCCATTTGGGCCAATGGTGCCTCCTCCTTGATGCCAACACTGCCCCCCCCCCCTTGAGACGTATTTTATTTCCATTAAAAATTATACACCACTTGGTTAAAAAAAGCAAAAAACACCTCAGAGCGTTTTACACTGCTTCTTATGGAGGAAATACATTGTCGGGCGCAGCTGGGCCTGGTCAGGAGCAGCCAGACCTTACCCCTGTGGTAGTGCTTTCCCTCCTCAGCATACCATATTATTATTATTATTAAAATTTATATAGCACCCAAATATCACCGGGCCTGGTTTACCAGGACCCCGTACTACAGAGAAGGGGAGAGGAGAGGGAAGCCTCAGAAGCGCCTTATATTTTATGTCCCCTCACATTTAGCCAGGCCTCCATCCCAGAGGGCAGCACCACACAGCCAGGCCTTTTCTGTGGTGGCTCCGTCTGTGGGCTGCTCTCCCCAGGGAGGCTCGCCTGGGGCCTTCACAAACATCTATTTCAGTTTCTCTTCATCCAGGCCTTGGGCTAACGGACCAAGCTGCGGCTTCGTGGAGGGGGGGGCGGTATTTGGTTAGTTTTTATTGTTTATTTTGTATTCTCTTTTTGTGCTTTTCCGTTGCCCACCGGCCTGGGATCTTCGGGGAAAGGGCGGTATAAAAATGTAATTAATTGATCAATTAATAAGGGAAAGGGTGCTTTGGCGGCGAAGCGCAGGCCCAGCATGGGAGAAGGAAATTTGTAACCCATCCTATTTCCCCTACTTCACAATACGCAAGTGGACAACCAACACACGCCGTCCCTTTCCTTTCTCCTCATCCTTCTTTCGACGGCCCTCTCTCGTTCCCCAAGGCCCCGGCCCCAAGCAGCCCCTTTTCCTCTCTCCCTTCATCCGACCCCACAAGGCCGCATCCCCCCACTTTCCTACCTTCCCCCTCCAGCAGACAGCTGCACAAACCTGGGCACAGCTCAGCCTCCACTGGCCCTTCTCCCTTCCAGCCAATCCCAAGGCCTAGCGCTGCCCAGTTAGAATGGACGTGGGCGGGGGCAGAAAAGGCCTAGCAAGGGACTGTGGGCAGCCGGAGAAGGGGCAGGAGCCATTTTAATATGGTCTTTTAAAAATAAAAATAAATATCAACAACCTCAGATATGCAGATGACACAACCTTGATGGCAGAAAGTGAGGAGGAATTAAAGAACCTTTTATTGAGGGTGAAAGAGGAGAGCGCAAAATATGGTCTGAAGCTCAACATCAAAAAGCTAAGATCCTGGCCACTGGGCCCATCACCTCCTGGCAAATAGAAGGGGAAGAAATGGAGGCAGTGAGAGATTTTACTTTCTTGGGCTCCATGATCACTGCAGATGGTGACAGCAGCCACGAAATTAAAAGACGCCTGCTCCTTGGGAGAAAGGCGATGGCAAACCTAGACAGCATCTTAAAAAGCAGAGATGTCACCTTGCCAACAAAGGTGTGTATAGTTAAAGCTATGGTTTTCCCAGTAGTGATGTATGGAAGTGAGAGCTGGACCATCAAGAAGGCTGATCGCCGAAGAATGGATGCTTTTGAATTCTGGTGCTGGAGGAGACTCTTGAGAGTCCCATGGACTGCAAGAAGATCAAACCTCTCCATTCTGAAGGAAATCAGCCCTGAGTGCTCACTGGAAGGACAGATCCTGAAGCTGAGGCTCCAAGACTTTGGCCACCTCATGAGAAGAGAAGACTCCCTGGAAAAGACCCTGATGTTGGGAAAGATGGAGGGCACAAGGAGAAGGGGACGACAGAGGACGAGATGGTGGGACAGTGTTCTCGAAGCTACCAGCATGAGTTTGACCAAACTGCGGGAGGCAGTGGAAGACAGGAGGGCCTGGCATGTTCTGGTCCAGGGGGTCATGAAGAGTCGGGCACGACTAAACGACTAAACAACAACAAAAATGGTAATTTGGGGGAGAGGCGAGCAACTATCCTGGCAGGCACTCATGGCTGCACCCTGGGGACTTTGGGGGGCCAGCAGATTCACAGGTCATTTGCAACTCTTTTTTTAATTTTTAAACGGGTATGTGGCATTGTGTGGCACGGTAACTGAAAGAGTTAGATTGCTATCCATGAGAAGGAACGCTCCTCCATCAGATGTAATCTGGAGACAACCATGCCATCAATCTGCAGCAGAGGAAGAAACCTAGGAAGCAAGGCCACCCCAGCCCTTCAAGCGTCTCCTCTCCGTCAACTGTTTCTGTTCCTCGTGTTCATTAACTATAATAATATTGTTACACGCCAACCCAGTCTCCGCAGCAGTGTGAGAATCAAGGGATACTAAGCACGCTTACCAGAGTATGTGTTTCCTTTTGGAATAATGAGGCACAGTGGAATCTGTGGTGTCTTTATGATACGTGGTTTATTTACACATATATGCAATCCAATGGAGGGCTCTCCAGCATCACTTTCCAAGAGGTACTGGCCTCTCCCATAGCCACAGCCATTGGATTCAAAACACACTTTCTGCTTTTTTTACTTTCTCTCCAGCCCACTGCTTAGTAACTGTTCCTTAACTCCTAACTGCCATTCTAAACTCTAACCCGTTAGACTAAACCCTTGGCTTTGATCCCCTGAGGGAGGGAGGAAGTAGGGTTGCCGTATTTCAAAAAGTAGAATTCCTCACACCCGCAAAGTTGGAGACAGAGGCTTATCAGTGAGTCCATCCTACCACTTGGGTCTATTGTAAAAACGCAGGAGTCTGCTTATTTCCTGGTTCTAACATCAGATCTTTCTTTTTTATCTCCCTTCCTACCAATCCCAACAGAAAAGCCTCGGGTTTTTAACAAAAGTATATCTTAAAATTTTCTTCATTTCGTTCTCTACACTCTCCCAGAACCCTTTAACCTGTTGGCATGCCCACCACATATGGTAGAAGGTCCCCCTTTCCTTGCACTTCCAGCATTTATTACAAGTTCCATACATTTTGGCTAATTTTGCAGGAGTCATATACCATCGGTAAAACATTTTCATTAAATTCTCCTTTAGTGTCACGCAAGCTGTAAACTTGAGATGTTTTTCCAAAGTTTCTCCCATTCTTCAAAATATATATTATGACCGATATCTCTAGCCCAATATATCATTACCGACTTTACTTCCTCGTCTATTAAATTCCATTCCAATAACTGATTATACATTTTAGACAAAATTTTATAGTTGTTATTCAATATCTCAATCTGGAATCTAGAATCTTTATCAGCATATCCTTTGTCTTTAATATCTTTCCTGAACATTCCGTTTATCTGGAAATAGTGCAGCCAATCATAGACTTTCTCTTTGACCTGTTCGTACGGCTTCATTTTCCACTTTCCTTCTTCTTTCATTAACAGTTGTTCATAGGTAGCCCAATTGTCCCTCATATTAATCTTTTTAACGCTCATGACTTCTAGTGGCGATAGCCAATGGGGTGTTTTAGGTTCTAACATATCTCTGTTCCTCTCCCATACCTCAATCAATGGACCTCTGAAAATATGATTTTGAAGCCCCTGTGTACTTTTCTCCTCCCATGCCATAGATAGGCGTGCCACCCAAATCTGTTGTTAAATCCTCTAGGTCTAGCACTTCCTTATCTTCCAGTTTTATCCATGTTTTGACCCAGCATAGGCATGACGCCTCATAGTACAATTTCAAATCTGGCAGGGCAAAGCCCCCCCTTTCCTTCACATCTGTCAACAGTTTAAATTTTATTCTTGGTTTCTTGCCCTGCCAGACGAATTTTGAGATCACCCTCTGCCGTCTGCTAACATTCCAACTTTAATTCAGTTCTAACACTAACTTAATCCAGAATTCAGGGTGTCTTACACCACAGATTCATCACAATTTGAAGCTTTGATAACTGCTGCCTGAGCTGGTTGCATTTGGGGTGAGGGCAGGTTCCCTGCTCCGTGTAACCCCCAAGTGTATTTCCCCATTCTGACTTTCGCATCGTGCGGAATGTCAGTCTGTCCCCCATGGTGGGGGCAGATAGTCGCAACCAATGCCTATGCAACCACTCACAAATTTGTATTTTAATAAAGTTGTGGCCAAAATTATGCCAAAAATCTTAAACAAAAACTTCTGTGTGATGTGTGAGTTATTGGGGTGGACCTGGGGACCTCGACACGCAACTGCTGCCTGAGCTGCCTGGTTTTTGTCTTCCCTCCTCATCCCTTCTTCCTTCTGCGGCATGTCTTTTACATTGTAAGCTTGTTGGCTTAAAGTAACCTGTGAGTGAAGCCTGTCTTCCACATTGTTGACTGGGAAATTTCTCACATGGTTATTGACAGTGAAAGACGCTGCGTGCTACATACAACAGAGAGCACCATTTCCTGCTGCAAAGCAGCCACTGCCTCCTCGTAACTACGTAGCTGAACAAATATGTTGCTGCACACCTGCATAACCTGTTCATAGGGGTATGATATGCCAATCGATGTGGCTGAGGAAATGACTTCTAGCATTGCGGTGGAACAAGAATCTTTAAGTCAGGATCGAGAAAGACTCTTTGTTCTGGGATCTTGCTGTGCAGTGATGAATGAAGAAGGGATGTGCCGACTGACAACGTTGTGGAGGGAGCCCTCAGGATTCCAAATATAAGAAGAATAGGATTTGTGGTAAGGACTGAGAAACTTTATCAGAGATGTGTGAAGGCGGTACTGGGATGGAGTGTTGCTTTGGAGGAAGGTTGGGCTGCCTCTAACCATCGTTTGTGCTCAGCCTCTCCAATGAGACCTTTTCTCATCAGAATAAATTTGATATAAAATGTTCTTTGGGCCTGTTGGGGGTAGATTGTGGATTTATGTCAAGTATTTGAACATGATTCTAAACCAGAATGTCACAAAATGAAAGGGAAGCAGTTTGCATGAGGGACCAATTCTTGTTTGTAAATTCCATTTCACTGCACTCTGCACCAATTGGTTTCACCCAGAACCAGATTTCTTGCTATCTCTGTTTATTAAATAAAAAATAAAAAAACGATCAGAACATATGACAGGAAGAATTCTCAGGCAGAATAAGCAGATTTAAGTAACTCTACATTCTGATTCTCTTTTGCAAATGCCTCCCCTATATTAACATTCCAAAGGAAACATGGAGCTGGGGAACCCATGTTTTCATTGCAGAGTGCAGTTATATCCTGGGAGACTAGAAAAGATCGACTGCCTTTGCTATCATCCCATGTTTCTGCCAGGCTTATCTTTTGTAATTGAGAAACTTCTGACTTCCCCAGAATAATAGAGACTGCTCTGCCGGAGCAATATACTTTTTTCCTAGTTGTGCGTGTTGGCAGGAACCTGAAATACTGGCTTAACCAATGCATAACCTATGATACAAATAAAATAGCATGATCCCATTCGAGGACAGAGTTCAAAAGAACTGAATGAGTAATGAAGAGTAATGAGTCAGAATGGCATGTATCACCAGCAGAGAACTTCTGGACCCAGAAACATAACTCAGTAATCATAGCCTTGGACAGGCTATGAGGCAGCAGGTTAGAGATATCAGAAAATCCTGCAGTGGCAGGTGGGAGAAGGAGTAGTTGCTAGGTTAATGACACATAATCAATAATTTGTTCCAGTTTTCAAGGTGTTGATGAATTCTGACAAGCTTTGTAATACCTTCAAAGTTTTGCTGTGTGGTTTCTGTTTTCTCAATCTTGCAGACTATTATTTGAAGTGTTAGTATTGGTATCCGAGAAAGAATAGCTTCAAGCGGTGGTTGCAAAGTGAATTAGCCTCAAAGGGAGTAAATAAGAGAGGCATGTTGAGCAGGTTTTACATGAAACCCTTGAAGGAAATTGGAACACTTCACTGGGCAGCGTCTTCCATTGCCAAACTGCTTAGATAATCTAGGGAATTATTCCTAGCGCTTAACCTGCTAGCTTTCTTCTCAGTTGATTTAGAATACAGTGATTGCTGCTGTCATCCATGGAGAAGAAATCTACAGAAACATATGTGGTTGTGCCCTGGAGTTGCAGCCTAGAGTAGGCAACTTTTCAAACTGGTACTGTATATGAAACCGTGAGAAGGAAGTGCTTGGACTCACCTGCTGTGAGTAAAGGTCTGCTCTTGAAACTGTGTTACGTTTTCTCCTAATCCACAATAGATGGGCATGTTCAAACAAAAGCATTAGAGCATTCAGAATGGAAAAGTTCTTGTCTACACAGGTAAGTTTGCTAAAGGTGTAGTCAGTGTCCTTCTGGGGTAGATCCAAGCCTTCGTCTTTTAAAACAAACATTCAAGCACATATATAGCAGTTCAGCCAGGAGATCAACACAGCCTTGTCCTATCCACTTGCATCTGTTCATGCTCAGGGGACGTTGGTGAATGGAGAATGTTTATATAGTATCTAGATAAAAATATGAGGAAGTGTTGCTGTGACTACTTGGGCAATAGAATATTGATGTGCAAAAGTTGCACGCACCCGGGCCAGCGCATAGATAAGAGCTTTTCAGATATCTTACCACCAAGTGCAGCTCCTACCTTGGTAAGGGCTTTTTTTTGAAAACATCACGTCTAAATCAGCACTAAATTGCTTTCCTTCATAGAACTGTTTTATTGTATCACATATGCTGATAATTAGTTTAGCAGAAACTGGCCTGAGATATAACAGATCACTTTGCAAATGGTGGAAGTTTTAATTATTAATAAACTAGTAAACTGGATTGACTACAGGTCTTTGGATGAATGCTTCTGATTCTATTGCATAACTTTCTAAAACTTCCCTTTAGAAGTTTTTTTTTTGGTAATATTGACTTTAATCGTTGAAACTATTCTGAATATAGAACTGTAAACCATTACTTTGATTACTTTATGGGTAGGTTTATGCATCCCACTTTTTAAGGATTAGAAATTTCTTCCATTTTTCTGTGATTAATGTTCACAGCTCTCTTTAATGCATTTATGCAATCACAGATTCTTCTTAATTGTCAATAAATTCATCTCTTTTACCATTTGGGAAGGTGTGTGTGTGTGC